TTCTTCTAGAGTTTATAGAGAAACTTCTAGCAAAACTTCAAAAACTGTCGTTGAAAGCATAAACTATACGGGCGCAAGGGAACCTTTGCGCATAAAGTCTATAGCACATTGAATATACGAACATTCCCTGTCCAGGATTCGAGTTTATTTCTGAATTTCGCATTTTTTCTTTCCTCAATCATATGATATTTTCTGACGTCATATGCACTTAAATATTACATGTAACAGTATATATTGAGTGCAACATCATTTAAAGGGTTTAACCATTTGAAACATATCATAACTGTTTAAAAGTTTCTTCTTCTTATCAAAAAACTAATTTTCGTTTTCTAAAATACGGCTAAACTATGTTCTGTAAAACGATTGAGGTTTCTTCATGTCACAAAAAAACCTTTCAGGTATTTTAAAATACCAAATCAATTCAGGGTTTTTTAAATCACGGCTTTTTCATATTCTAAAAATATCAAAGGGCTTTTCTGATAAAAGTAAAAAACGTTTAAACAGTTATGATATGTTTCAAATGGTTATACCATTTTTCGTATTTTATAATACCTTTATTTTTTAGAGAGTACTCAAATTGAGAAAGATTATTCACAAAAAGAGAAAAATGTGGCCTCAGTATCTTGTCGCACAATTTAGAAGGGATATTCTAGGATTAATGCTGTAGAATAAATGACTAGAGAGATGGTATTATCATCTCAATTCGAGTTCTTTTAATTAGATAAAGAATTTCATCATTTCCATCGTACTTTGATCAACTAAACTGATATTATGTGGACAAATCTCACTTTCTAGTCATGACGATAGCTTTTCTGCTTCACTAAAAACTCTCTGCAGAATATCTGTTATTTAAATCGTGTTGAAAGGTTCAACCGACTCGTCACTCAAATCGCATTCGGACTAATGTTAACAATAAGACGAACTTCGGAAAATAAATGACAATATTAGACTGTAATTTGGAATTATTTTCTACTTTATAGAAAATCGACCAGGGAAATCGCCAAGGTTTTTTCCAACTTTTATAAAATCCTCAGCGATTTTCTGACTGTTTAGAAAATGTTGATTTTCTACTTTATGGTCTTTATGAATTGACTTTTCCCGTTTGCCAGAAAATTGCTAAGTAATTGCTAAAAAGTTGGAAAATCGAGTGATTTTCTAATTTTTAGAAAATCGACTCGATTTTCCAGATTCTAGAAAATCAAAATCGATTTTCTATAAATAAATCAGAACATTCTTGAAATTCGACAGCGATTTTCTAAGAAGACGAATCGGTCATTTTTGTCTAGATTCTTTTACATCCATGAATGCCGTCATTGCAACAAGTTATCCTGTAACAGATCTCTACTCCTTTTAGTATATAACATCGGAAATGTTAGTAGATTGAGAAAGTTCTCTCAGTTTTTGCCGATCAGCATATTCTTCGAGACGTATTATTGTGTATATAACACTTAGAGATCAGAAAGAGGCATTGAAAAGGTTCTTGGGTTAGGCCTGATTAAGACAAAGTCGAGTTCCACCGCAGCTTTCTGAAGATCGCAAAGCGATTCGCTCTTGCTAATATTCCTCATTTTTATATCTGAATTTAGCATCGTCCAAAAATGCATTTGGTTCCAGTACCACCATTGTATTGAATTAAGTAAAATTTGTGTTTAATCTAAAAGTATAATTATGTTTGATTTCCATTCAGAAGTATTTAGATTATTTATTATAAAAGTTTAAAATGTATAATTATAAGTTATAAGATTTCATATTAGTTGGGAAGATGGAGTGACCAGGCATGTTATATTAGTTTGTATGTCCATTTTTGTCAGATTTTATATTTACTTATTGTATAACAGTTAAAGGTAGAAAATAAAATATTTAACTAATTAATTTTGAGGTAGTATATTTAATGGAAATATTATACTTATATGATTAGTTAATAATGATAAATTTCGTTTTATTATATCTGATTATTATTTATCTTGTATTGAAATAGTTTACACTACTCGATAATCAGCTAGGACTGAATAGGTGAATCAGCCTTCCGGTTTTTTCAGCTCTGAATCGGATCTCATTAAAACACATGTCCGGATTCAGAGCTGAACATATTGATCAACTCATTCATTGACATTTGAGTCTTGTAGATAATCATGAAATCCAAAGATCTTCAAGATCTAGTGTTGCTCAAGACATGTGATGGCTTGTCATCACTACAGATCGAGCAGGATTTATGTAATTTAGTCAGTCGACGCACGATTCAACGCTAGCAATCAGTATATCGTAAAACTGGAAAAAATCAATTGAAAAAGCCACCTGGAGCAGTAAGAACGGTTCGAACGAAAACTGTTGTACAAAAGGTAAAAAACCGTTACCAGCGCAACTGGCGGCAAAGTGTTTCTCGTATGTCTCGTCAACTCAAACTTTCAAGGCGATCTCTTGGACGACTAGTCAAGGAAGACCCGGACCTTCATGCATATTGCATAACTATTCAGCCAAAACTAATTGATGATCAGAAAAAATGTCGAGTTGCCTTTGCATATTGGATCGGCCAAACATTGTGTAAAAATGATATCAAAAGATTTTATTCAGCGATGAGAAATATTTGACAGTCGACGGCATATTTAATCGACAAAACGAGGGAGTATATGCACCAAGCCGAGAGATGGCAGATGAGGGTGGTGGTGTTCATTCAAAATCAAAATAGTCAGGACAGCTCATAGTCTGGCTTGGTGCAAGCAGTCAAGGTCTTACAAAACTTATTATTGTCAAAGAGAATGAGACATTGATGTTGTGTTGCCATTTGCTTTGAAAGGAGACACTCGATTACTTGGAGATAGTTTCATCTTCCAACAAGATGGCGCACCGAGACAGTCAATCACAAACATGGTGTGAAGAGCACTTTTTCGATTTTATTGATAAAGACCGATGGCCGCCGAACAGTCTCGATCTTAATGTTCTTGATTACCATGTATGGGACGCCGTTGGGCAACAAATGCGACGGGACAAAGTCAATAATTATGAAACATTACGTGAAGAAATTAAAAAAGCTGTAGAATTTGTACCGAAGAAAAACGTCGCGAGCAGTGTCGATGCTTGGTCACGTCACATCATCAAACTTTCGAAAAACAAAGGTGCTTATATATTAAGTAGTTCTCTGTATGTATATATAGTGTTTTGTTTACTGTATCCAACTATTATTCTAGCTTTGAAATAAAGCTTAGGCCTTTGAAGAAATTTCGACTACAAAGTGGCGCCATTTCCTCTGTCCAATCCGTTATTTAAAATTAGTACACTATGATTAAAAAGCAACATAATTCATATTATGTTCAATAAATTTTATTTTTCAGTAGTGGATTAATATTCAACAGTCCCGAGAAGGACGTATCTAAATCAGTGTAAAGCTGGGTCAGCAGTTAGCTTGTTTTCGTCTATAATCAAAGGACGTACGCGAACTAAATACACTATCCATTTCAAACTAAAAGACCGGTAGCCATTTCTCCAATAACACAAAAATGAAATGAGATAACGTCATGTAGTTTTCACCATTCGAAAGCAGACACCTGAGCATATCCTTCCATAAGAAGGAACGTTTTGAAACAATTTCAAAACCTGTATTAGGTGAAATATCCCATTTTTGTCCTTTTTCACCGAACATCAAAAAAATTCATATTTCAGTCAAAATCGATGCAAACTATTAATACATGAGGGTTTCTAAATGTGCTCTGTTTTATCTGCACTATATCATGCAGTGCAACAGAGCTTCTATAAATCAACTTTTCGCTAAGTTTCCGACTTTTTCAGAAAGCGAATATTGCCATAAGACTAAGTGTGATCAATAATCTAGGTCTTCATTCAATTTCGGGGCTATTACACCTAAGCAAATACTGGGCTCAATCTGATATCGCGTTTAAACCAAAGTGGGTTAGTACTCTAGCCTAAACTGAGAGCGCGTTAGTTTCGAATTTGTAGTGTAACTTCGATAAATAGTTTCCTAACGCGAAGATCATCTCGCTAAAAGACATTTCGTGTCTACATTAAGGACTAACGAACAAAGTCGAAATTGTTCTTCCATTCAGAACTACATCATTCAATTTTCCACATTAGATTATTCTACGCTTTACCACGCTCACCACCGCGCGTTTCAAATAAAGAATTTATCCTCAGCGCCAGGCATTTTTCTGTATATGTATCCTATCTCAATTTCAACATAAATACCTCGAACGACGTATTTCCAATTGACAAACATTTGTCAATACGACGTAACCGACAGTAAAAATGTTAAGAGCCTTTCATAACACAGTGATAATAAGTCTCCGATTCTCAACTAAAATGTTCCCGTACATGGACACTATCTCGCCGTCGTGCATGCACAGTTTTACAAAGTGTGATTTACCATTTCTATAGCAAAATAAATACATTAGTTTAAAAGATAAACTTCAATCTCACTCAACATAAAATTAACATTCCCAGTGAACGTTTTCACCCCTAGACCAATTACGTCACTGTAATTAAGCGGGAAACCAATACGACTATCATTATTCATATCACCACTATCAGCAACGACAATATCTGCAAACTACAGTTCGCTTACCGTGGGCGAGGAAGTATGACCCCATGTTCTCCCCACAATGAGAAATGGCCGATGATCGGGAGTGATTGTAGCCACGAGAAAGCTAAGGTCGAATGATGTGCCTGTGAAAGAATGAAGGTACCAAATACTGGTCCGTAGTTTTTGCTATGAAACACGGCGTATTTTTTTCCATTTGTCGTCAATAACAAATTGTGTGATTTGAAGACCATGTGGGTTGGTTAGTGTGAAGAGAAATGCTTGTGAGTCTTCTTTCGGACCAGCTTGTGAACTCCAAGGTATGATGGTATGGGCGTTACTGCGTTCGCATATTATGGAAGCGTGAGTTTATAGGTTCCTTACTCGTGTGATGAACTGTGACAGGTAATATTTGTATTTAAATACAAATATTACCTGTCACAGTTCATCACACGAGTAAGGAACCTATAAACTCATTATACAATATAATTGCGCTGTTTGGTTTTATCACGTTTAGATACTTAGACTTCTCGCTACAACTTGGTTGTTGTTAGAGTTATTCGCTACTTAAGCTACCACGAGCGCTTTCGACCTTGCTTA